AATTATGATTTTAGCCCTCATAGTTAACCTGTTATAAGATTTTAAAGGTAACCAATAGTACTTGCGTTTCTTTTGTGGGCCACTGTATATAAATTTCATCAGTATATGTAAGAACTAATAATACATTTTGTAAGAAATTTATTTTAGTTCAGCATCTTACAAAGGTTTCCTTAGTCATCTTAAAATATTATTCAAATAAATAATCTATTATAATATAAACTTTAAATGATTTCTGAGAATTATGATTATATCTTTTTGATTTCTTTAATATAATCAACAATAGCTTTTTTATATCCAACTGAAAGATTTTGGTAAATTTTTTTTAATTCTAAATAATTTCGTAAAATTTCTTGATTATTTTCTTGAAAATTTTTATGTTATTGATTGAATTTACTTTAATTATTTTTCTAAATTTTGAGCCTATTATACAAATTGTATATTGATTTCTTAAAGGTTTTCTTTAATTTTACATTAATACATAAGGTTTCTTCATATTGTTATTTTATCTGTTTATTATCATCTAATAATTGTCAATTTAATGTTTAATTTTTCAAGACTAATTCTAAAATTTTCAATAGCAAAGCTGCTGTCAAAAAATGTTTATAAAGAATTATATTTTGAGGATAATTGAAAATCTTATTTATGTTTTAATGAGTTTAACTACTATATTATATATTGAATATAATTTTACCTAGAAACTCCATAATATTGTATGCAAATTATTTTCAATATTTGCAGTTAGTCTTTTAAAGATCATTTTGCCAGATGCGTAAGCTATCATAATTATTAATTTTTTTATAAATACGAGCCAAAAATTCTTAAAAAAATATACTAAACTTACTCTTATTATATTTGTATACATATTCCTTAAAAACTTTTCTTCGTTTAACATTTTAATTTATATATGTAACTTTGTTTATTCTTAATTTCTGATTTTTCTGATTATTTTATTATATAATTTTTTGTAATTGCGCAGTTTAAATTAATAGAGTTTTATTTGATTAATATTTATTATATTAACATAGTGAAAGTGTAGAGTGTTAATGTTGATTAATTTAATATTATTAATTAATTTAGCATTAATATTACTTCATTTTTACTTAATAAAAAACTTCTTCTTATATTAAAAATTGTTTATAAATACATAAATAAAAGAATTGAATACAACACTATCTGTCAATATAAAACTTTCACAAAGTATTTTAATGGAACATTGATCAGGTTCTTAGAAGAAACTTCATTATGAACTACTACTGATAATTTCAACTTACTAATCAGAGATTTAATAACATATTAAATTAATGTAAAAAATTGTACTCTTAAAATAGTTTTTGATTATAAATCTAATACCTTAGCAATTTGATTTAAGATTATTTAGCTGAAGTAAATAATGATGATGAGAAATTCTACAGTTTAGATTATAATGTATCATCAAGATTTCCATTAATAAATCTGAAGTTTTAGCAATAAAATTCATTTAATATAAAAAAAGTAAAATACTTAAACATTATTGTATAAACAATTAAAAGACAATTTAAAAATAACGAACTTTAACTTCAAATTTATTAGAAATATAAGAAGGTTACTAGAATGTATATTTGATGTAGGGTTGATTTAGAAAATACTCTCATTAAATTTACAATTCAATATAGAAATCTCTTAAAAAATATGTTCTTAAAAATTAAAAGTAAGTATCTATTTTAATTGACTTAAAATTTAAATTTAAAGCAATATTTATAATAGATAACTGAAAAATGAATTTATTTATCAGTTTCAAAGTTATTTCTTTTGCTATTTCTTCAGTTGTAATTATATAATTCTTTGGATTAGGTTAGTGACTATTTCTCAAGAAGTTTTTACATATTTTCACTTTTTAATTTTTTTTTTTATCTGAGCTTTCATCATTTAAATTGTTTTTAAAGTGCAGTAATTATATTATATTTTTTTTTCATAAATATTCTTGCTTCTCTTACTTTCTTTAGGTTTCATTTAGTTTTTTACTTTTTAGAAGCTATTACTAATATTTTTTTTTTTCCTTCGATTATCAATTATATTATTATAAAGTAATTTTCTAATAACAAGAATATTTGAAGCTTCTTTAGTTTAATATAAACATATGAATTACAGAAGTTTTATGAATAAGTTAATTTATTAGTTAATAATTATAAATAATTCAAACAAGAATTTTTGCTAGATATCATTGTTAATATCTGGATTTTTAGATTCCTGAGAAATGATTACTGATTAAAAGTCTGCAACCTGACGAAACTTGTTCTGATTTTCTTGATAATTTTCAAAGTAATTTGGTATATACAGTAACGACATAAGTATCAGGCTTTAAACCACATGGCAGGGCGATTTTCATTAGACCTATAACTATCTAATCAGTCTCTGCCGTGTTCATTAACTCTGTAATAAAAATAATGTATTTTCAAGCATTGCATTAGTATCAGAAGTTGACTTGATGTCCAAAGTGCCGGTCATATTATTCCATTCAACATTGTCACGTAATTTCATTGATTAAAAATGATTTTTATTGGTCCACTTGACCAATCACAGTCATGTGCACAAGGAACTCAAATTTAGATAAAAACTTCAGATTTCCCCTTTTTTACTGGCGTCCTCCCAATGGATAATAATCACTTTCACCATTAGGAGACCACTTTGACTGAAACCAACGGTTGTGCCGCCATTAAAATTCTCAATATTTGGTTGGCCATATTTTCAAGTGATCTTTGTTTATAATCATTACTTGCCTCTTGGTTATTTTCAAGTCATGTAAGGATGCTAGAATTTCATATTTAAGTAGATTAATCGGAAATCTCTTGTCCTATTGAATAGGATTTGAATTTGAATATCGATTAAATTGTCAAAAAAAATTACTTCAAGTGTGTTAAGTAAGTTAGATGCATAAATTTTCAATCTATTACGTGCCTGTATTGCTTGCACAGCTTTCTCATCAACTTCACGACTTCAAATACTATTATTATTATATAGGTTTTTTAGTAAAAATTTTATTACGTAAAACTTCGTTATAAAATTTGAAGTGATTACATGCCCATACGTTCTATTGACAATCTACTTTGTTATTCGTGATGGTTTTCTTCGATCTTCCAGTTTTTTATCAACAGCGGACACCTACAATCAATTCAAGTTAATATTATATGGGACATTTGCAATAGGAAGGGAAAAAATAAATTTACTTTTATATGCCAAATATGATTTTCCCATATTATGAAATGACAACAAGTATAATAAATGAATATCCAAAAACATGCGTTTAAGATACCGTGGCACACCTTTTGTGCTGATGGAATTCTAGTCAATTCGAATTTTCCGAGCAAGTTGTTATCCTTTACACGGGCACTTTCTCCTTCATAAACGTTAATAAGTATTTCTGATTGATTTTCAAATTCTGTTGAAATATTTCGGATTTCTTAGTAGGTACTATAGTATTACGATTAATAAGTGGTATGATGACACCGTCGATACCAAGAGATAAAGCAACGACATCGAATAAAAGATATCTTTGGTTTTTTTTAGAAGTATCACTAGATAAAATTGCAGCTTGAATGGCGGCACCATAGGCCATGGTTTCAACAGGATTAATAGATTTGTTTAGTTCTTTACCATTGAAAAATTCAGAATTCATATTGAACCACAACTAGAATAATTTCATGAATTTGACTTAATTTCGATTTAGAATCTCGAAGTACTTTTTTCAACATGTTCCATTGTAGATTGAAACAAGTCTTTGATTCAATCCTTCAAATTTTGCACGTGTTAATGAGGTATAAAAATCGATACCCTCGTAGAGGGAATCTATTTCTATGAAAGCTTTTAATGATGATGAAAGTTCACGCTTTGCACGTTCACAAGCTGTCCTTAATCGACGGAAAGTGCGTGCATTGGTTGTAAATCTTTCTTAAATTTTCGTTTAATTTCTTGTACGAAATGGTTTACAGTACAAGTCGATTGTTGAAATCTTCATCGCCAATAAGCAACAGATATACTTCAAAAATTCCTCCTTCGATATTTAGGAGGGAGATATCAAAAGATCTACCACCTAAATCATAGACAATAACGTTTCGTTCACCACAGGCTTTCTTATTTAAACCATAAGCAATAGCTGCCGAGGTTGCTTCATTAATTATACGTAATACCTTTAAACCAGCGATTTCACCGCATCTTTTAATGCTTGACGTTTGATAGTCATTAAAGTAAGCTAGTGAATACCAGCAAAATTAATCATTAGAATTATACAAGTTACACTGCATGAATAATGATTTACAATGAATAATAATGTTGATCTACCGAGTGCGTTTTTTTTTTAAAAAAATTTCTAACACCGTGCATTTTTTTCTCAAAAATCTTTATCATTTCGCTTGCTAAATATCTAATTAAAAAAATCAAAATGGAAACCTCCAAGAATTTAAATGAGTTTATTGAAAAATATATTTCAAGTAATAATATAAAATACTTTGAATACAAGCATTTTAGCAATTTTCAAAAGATAGGTTCAGGCAGCTTTGGAAAAGTTTATCGTGCAAATTGGAAAAATTCAAAGCAATATCTTGCATTAAAATCGTTTCATAACTTTAACAACGCTACCGTTAA